TCCTTGCATAACCACCTACAGAACATATAACATGTCAAGCAAAGCTTCAAATATCAAAACTAGAGAAAAGTTTCCTTATACATCATTCTTTCTTCACTTTGTCCTTTACATTTATAGGCCCGTAGCTCGTGTCCTGTCCCCTCGCCGATGACCTCGGGTAGCTAGCCCGCAGCCCATAAGAAGTAACCCCGGGACTCCCTGTGGAAGGACGCTTTGCTACGCTCAGCTCAGGTAGTTACTTGGGGGCACAACTACCTTAAAACATTACTTATAATTACACTCATTTCATTGTTATTTCGTATGCACATAGCTTCATACAATTCATAGAACTTGAATACTTCATATTTGATAACACAATAGCTTCACAATTTACACACCTGTCAATCAATACATCTAACTTGGAGTTTACACAAATCTCATGCTATACACTTCCAAGTAATGAAGCAAGTATATCAATTCATAATTTGCTAGACATCCATAATTTATTTAAAACTATCATGTATAGGTGGTGATGACTTACCTGTCAAAGCTTAACTCAACTTGCTCAACTAAGTGTGGCACCTTGGTAACGTATCCCAATAAGCTCTTCTTTTAAATCTTCAATTAAAAAGTTTTAAATGTATATTAGAATTTCCCGAGTCCTAATCATTTCCAAAAAAACATAACATGAAGCCTATTGGCAGGGGGCTAATCATAAGAATTTAAAGACTAAAAACATCAATCAAGAGTTCTCCTATGCTACATATTATAATAATATATCTCAATTATGAAGTTTCTCTAATTTATCAATAAACACCCAAATGAAACTTTATGGCCTCCACTTCTACGTAAAGTTTTAAGCCTCCAAGAAATTAGTCACATTCCTAAATCTATTTATTGAAAAGCTATTAAAACCGGTAGGAACAAAAATTGCATTTCAGCACTATCAGGCTTACAACCGTGTAAAATAAAACCCCACTTTAATTTAGTCGTAAAACGTAAAATTAATCAAGGAGGAACGGTAGTGCCAATTCACCCCTGGAAGAGACTAAAAATTTTAAACTGGAAGAAACCAGATAGTTGGCTAAATGAAAAATGTTTCGGATGAAAAATTTTGTGTGCCCATAATCCTCTATAGCAATCGGTTGAAAAACAAGCTAATTAATACTCAGAAGATAAAAGAAGATATGCCATAGAAGAAATATTTTCATACCAGATTTTGAATCTTATTTCCAGCAAGATTTCCGTCCAGATGGAAAATTTTGTTAAAGGAGGAAGAATGAGTAGCGGCTACCAGGGAGCAGCGATGATAAGAAGTTGCTATTTTGTTTCATTTTAGGGCTTTTATTCTTAGGAACCGTCATCTTCTATTATACAAAAGCAAGTGGAAAAGTGTACAGTGTTCCCGCCCAAACACTGTACAGTAACGGGCCGGGTCAAGTTTAATATGGGTGCAGAGACGGGTCAGTGTTGAGGCCCAAATCCGTGTTTGCAGCATCCAATATTACAATTGTGTGGCTCAAGACAGATCATTTAATGCTGGCTGCTTTATGAATTAAAAAATAATTTAAGTACAATTGAGCTGCACATTGCAATTCTTGAGCCTCACAAACAATCAATGCACTGTCCTTTTACGAACTAAAAAAGAGTATTAGTTGTACTTTTAAAGTTATAGATCATAAATAAAATCTTAATGCAGTATTGAGCCTCACAAACAATAAATGCAGTGTAACCTTTATGAATAAAAAATAGTTTTAGTTGTACTTTAAAAACTTATAGAGTGAAAGTAAAATCCTAATGCAGCCTTGAGCCTCAAAAACATTAAATGCAGCATTGAACAGGCCGTTCTCCATCCCCCAAATCGAAAAAGAGCTACCCAACACCAGTCTTGAGCCTCCAAAATAATAAATGTGTTACAGTACAACAAAATCTCAAAGCAAAAATTGAATGGGTTTAACCTTTGGTTAATACCCAATTGCTTCACATTATGCTCCCACCAGCTCACTATAAGTACCCAGGTTGGGTGTGATCAAAACACACCGTAAGAGAGTGAGCAACCCCAATTTTGTTTTCGTCTAAGCAAGCAAGCAATCTACGCTATGGCAGGTTCTTCTGCAACAGGGATGTGGTCTCTAATCAAGTACTTCAATGAAAACACATGTGTGTTGATGAGGTTTGGTTGGCTTAACATGGAATGAATATACTATTGCATTCATATCAATGAAGTATGCGTATGGTTTTTTTTGGATATGTAAAAGATGTAAACGGCTTTGTGTTTTGAATATGTAGCCTGTATAATGTGATGAAATGGTAAGCCATGTTTGGAATGCAATGTAATGAATAAAATGTAATGCAATGTTCACATGTGTTTTTTGAAGACACATAGGTGCATGATTCTATAATCATTTATGTATGCTTAACTACATGTTTTAAAGTGAAGTATATCAAAATATTTCCAGAAATTACTATGATTGCATGTTTGACATATATTTTATAGATGGAGATGACACATGCATTTCATAACTACTTAGTCATTACATGAGATGGAGATAACCCTAAATCAGGAATGTGGGTTATCAGGGGTTATCAATATTCAGGCCATCCGACTGCCGGACCACGCAGTTCCGAAGGCCACTATTGTGGCTGGCAGGGTATCCGACAGTCCTATGGGATGGGCCATAACAATCAGTAACCACCTTAACCAACCTTCCAGAATTTTTGAAAGGAGAGTAGTCAAATGAATGAAACATTTTTTGAATGTTTAATAACAGCTCTTCGATGAAGAGGATTACCAAAAGCACCACAATCAACAGTAAAAGATGTGTTGATGACATGATCAACAAAGGTAGATTATTATTCTTAAATGTCACTTTGCATCTAATTCAAAATAGATTACCAAGTAGTAATGATAAGTTTAATTTTAAAATCATGAAGGGTGAGACATGCTTAACTGAAGAAAATGCATACAGAAATATTCTGTATTGCAGATGTATGTTGTACAGAAATGTAAGTAAAAAATTAAACAATAAGTTGAAAGTCCCTTTCCTAGATTATTGTAATACTCAAAAAGTGTATTTTGATAATAAAAACATTGAGGGATGGTCAAATTGCTGATCTTTAAATGTATAACTGAGAATGGATGAAACTGGAATAAACTTTGAGGAATCAATACTGAGAATACTCAAAAAGTGTATTTCGAAGATGTACACACAAATATTCTGTATTACAGATATATGTGTAACTGAAGAAAAGGCATACACAAATAATCTGTATTACAGATATATGAACACATTGAATCTGGAAAAAAACATTGAGGGATAATCAAAAGTGTATTTCGAAAATGTATACACAAATATTCTATATTAGAGATATATGTGGACTGAAGAAAAGGCATAGACAAATATTTTGTATTAAAAATATATGTTGTCCTGAAATAAATAACTAAAAAATGAAACAATCAGTTGAATGTCACTTTCCCAGATTATCAGAAATACTCAAATAGTGTATTTCGAAAAAAAATGTGTAAAATCTGGAATAGAGCTTAACTGAATCATTAAAAAGGAATACTATATTCACAAATCATTTAGATCTATGATTCTGGAATATGACTGAGCCTTTGTAGATCTTTAAATACGATAGTTTGTTTACAAACCGTATAGATCTTATTTCGGCTAGGTCTTAATAAATCAGCCAAATGATATGCAATTATAGGACACAAGACACTTAGGTCTGAGATTTTTCAATATCACTAACTCACTAAGCCTTCATAGATAGCTGATACAAAAAGAGCATTTTGAAGAGGTAAAAATACAAGAAAAACATATCTGAGATCCTTTGTTTCTCATCACTCAGCGTTCGTGTCCTTCATACTTGACGAAAATAGATGATAAAAACGGGCTTTAAAGTTTAATTATATTCTAAAAAAGGACGGTTTAAAAAAATTACAATGAAACTACAGATCTACAACAATCTGCAAGTTGTGGTTTAAAACCGTACAGATCTTATGTCTAAAATTGGACAAGTTTATCCAAATCGCATGAAAGTGCAAAGCAGTTAGTAGCATTAGGTCTGAGATCATGATGCATCCCTCAGCCTTCGTTCAACATTAATACATAAAAAAACCAGGGGAATTACCGGAATGAAGAAGAAGACATAAGATCTGAGATTGGTTGGGTCGCTAGTCCGTCATTTTTGCCGTATAAGTGGTCCGGTCAGACAACATAGGCCAAAAACCATCAACACATATAAGTCGAAGTTTTCCATCGGAATAACCATCGAAATAATACGGTGAGGTTGAGAAAGTAAGGTATAATAACATAGAGAGCCTGAGAGAGAAGGAAGAATGCAGCCATCGGAATAGCCGATGGTCTGTCTCTTTATCTGCTGGGTAATTATGTTGTCTGAGGGGTAAAGGTAGTTTGTATAGGTGAGTTGGTTTAGGTTAGGTTTTAGGCCTGCAATGCATTGGGTTATTGGGCTTGGTTTTGTCTAATGGGCTGTAGGAATGCTGATTTGTATTCAGTTGTTGGGCTGGGTGAATAATAATAGGACACAAATAAGATTATTATTATTATTATTATTATTATTATTATTATTATTATTATTATTATTATTATTATTATTATTATTATTATTATTATTAATATTATTATTATTACTATTACTATTATTTTGATCGTTTATTATTATTATTATAAAATTTATTATTATCATTATTATTAAATATTCTTAAATGGTTATATATAAATATGTATTTAGATATTGGTACATTCATTAAGGTTACATATTTAGGTAAAACTATTGAACAATAATTTCCTGATATATTTATGTGAATGACATAAATTTGAATGATTTAATGATATCATCTTTTCTCATAAAAACTATAATAATATTAAAAAAAAAATATGAATGGTTATAATATTATTACTAAGGTTGTAATAATTATATATACTATAAAATATGACTTCTTTGAATGTTAGTGAAGAGTCAAAGACATGTTTAAGTTCAGATAACATTTGCAGGTCAGACTCGAATGCTGATTTTGTGGCTGATTTGCATACTCCGAAATTTCTCAACAAAATACGTGCATCAGGAGTTCCAAACCATGAGTTAACCCGAAAGGTTGGCACTCCGATAATGCTTTTAAGGAATATTGATCATTCGATGGGACTTTGCAATGGGACGAGGTTAATTGCTACACGACTTGGAAATCACATCTTAGGGGCAAAAATTATGGGCGGAAAATATGTCGGGCATGAAGTTGTAATTCCGAGGTTAAGCTTAACTCCTTCAGATCACGTTCAAGTTTCAGAGAAGACAACTTTCAGTAATGACCTCTTATGCGATGACTATAAATAAGAGTCAGGGACAATCTTTGTCCAATGTTGGACTTTTATTGAAAAAGTCAGTTTTCACGCATGGTCAGCTGTATGTTGCAGTGTCAATGGTAACAAATCCTAAAGGTTTGAAGATATGGATATATATGCGATGAAGATGGTCAACCAACTGACCATACCACCAATGTAGTTTATAAGGAAGTTTTTCGCAATGTGTAGGCTGTGAAACTCTATTTAACGTTTACATTTTTCTGCTTATTCCCAATCATACTTACTACCTATCTCTGCTTTTCCACAGAAGAACTTTAATTATAAATTATTATGCATGTTACACATATGACAATTTACTTTTAGTACACACGACCAAAAAACATTTAAATAAAGTCATATCACTATTACATTTTAATATCCCGCGCATCGCGCGGGTGGAAATCTAGTTCTAAAACAATCTTTACTTTGGGCCAAATAACCAATTTGAGTTTCTACTTGTTCTCACAATAAAATTTGACCCAATTGAAAAAGAATATTTTTCCAAAAGAAAAATAAACTGATAAATTCAGCACATTATTTACTTATACATTTATGATTTCTGGGGCTTACCGGTCAACGTTACTTGCCATAACAATACATGATTAATAAAAATCACATTATTCATAAAATAAACTTATTTAACTGACTAAATAAATAAAAATGATTAATATATCTAGCTCACTAAAATCGGGGTGTTACAGGTCACCTTGAGCAAAATCAACAGAAAAACAAAACTTTGATAATAGACAAGAACATGACGAAACAAAATAATTGACTAATGAGAACAATCATGATTGGACTGGGATTTCCGTGGAAGATCGATTCTACGTATTGCTTCACAAATAGGGTGCGTTGTAGGATGAATGTATATAATTAAGCTACGTAGATCTATATATATACATTTATAGCTAGGGATGAATGAACAAAGGTTGAGCATCAATCTCACGGGTTAAACATTTTATTTGTAACTAGACGCGCAACGGGTGTACAAACTCCAACGGGTAAAATTGGACATATGTATATGTATATGTATATGTATATGTATATGTATATGTATATGTATATGTATATGTATATGTATATGTATATGTATATGTATATGTATATGTATATGTATATGTATATGTATATGTATATGTATATGTATATGTATATCAGGCCAGAGAAGCACACTTGCTAGTTATCAACCTTTCACATCTTATGCAGGTCCATCTAATGTCGGGTAGACGCTCAGAGCTTCTCTGCCTGATGTTGGGGAGAAGCACACACCTTCCCTGCCTGATGTTGGGGAAAAACATGCACCTTCACTACCTAATGTCAGGGAGATGCTATGAGTTTCTCTGCCTGATGTTAGGGAGACGCACACACTTTCCCTACCTAACATTGGGGAGATGCTAAGTGTTTCTCTGCCTGATGCTGGGGAGAACTATGCACCTTCAATTCTCTACCTAATGTTGAGGAGATGTTAATGGCTTCAATTCTATGACAAATGCTGGGGAGAAGCACCTTCCCTACTCCGCGAAGAACAATTTTTTTCCAGGAGAGTAAGGAAATGAAGCTGACCATTAGTAGAGAGATAGGACCAGACCAACAAAAGTTTGGCTTGCCCGCATCCCTGCCGAAACATGTAAGATATTTGCAAAATTCTGCCATTTGTTAAGGAGTCGTTTGAGACCGGACTTGCAATGAAGAAATAGTCATCATCCATGAGGATGGAGAGTAAACCCGATGATAAGATTATGTTGACAGTTCAAATTAAGTCCCATTGTCATCATCCAAGACTCCAAGTGAAGGAGGACGTGATCGATTTTGAGATGGAAATGATGGCGTTGAGCCGGTGCTATGAAGATGACGACTCGTGGGCTGGTGCTGATAAGGACGTGACCCAGCTACTTATGGTTTGATTGTTCCAACTTTTATATGTGTTGTATGTGCATTATTGTATATATAGTTTATATATAATTAGTCGCATGTTGTAAAGGGAAACAGAGTAGACCTTAGGTTGATGGACTTTTATGTAAGAGTATCATTTAGTGTGTGAGTAGCTTAGGTAAAAGTAAGATAAAACGAAGTATGTGTATGAATGGTTAAAATATATATATATTAGCGAAAAAGAATAGTGTGTCTAATTTTATCAGTTGGAGTTCGTACACTTGTTGCACGCCTACTTACAAATGAAATGCTTAAACCGTGTGATGCTCAACCTTTATTCATTCATTCATATAAGTGAGTATATATATAGACGTAGCTTATATGTACACATTCATCCTACAGCCTTGTTTTGGAAGCAATGTAATCGATCTTAAGAGAAAATCCCAATTCAATCATGGGTTTTCAAGCCAATTATTTTGTTTTATCATGTTCTTGTCTATCTTCAAAGTTATGTTTTTTTGGTTGCTTATTTGATGTGTTTGCAAACTTTGAAATGACATAAAATCAATAAAAGTAAAGGTTAAATGTTATCACATAAAATTTGATTTATACTTTGAGAGAGAAATTTCATTAGTGGTCAATTGCACATTGCAATACCAAAAGTAATGAGCAAAGACATTAAGATACGCATACGTTCAAAAGAAACAAATTTCTTCACCAAGACGATGAATGTTGTTTATAAAGAGGTTTCCCAAAACCTAAAAATGAGATGTTTGGTTCGTGTAGTGTTACATTATAATGCCTCGTTAGTTAAATTACTATCCGCAATGAACAAACGTTTATTTGAAGTAAAATGATAAATTGTTTATATATTGTATAAAATATACTCGTATATCTTACAAAATATTCAAGCATTCTCAACATCAACCTGGGGCAACGCCCGGCTAAAACACTAGTGGTAGTTTTTATATAAGATGTTTTGATTAGCTAATCATGTAATTTAGGTCATCAAAAGTTCCCTTGGCAAACGGATGATTAGCTAATCATGTAATTCCATAGAAATTTACTCAAATACACTCAAACATTATGCCGGATACTCACTTAGTTGACTTAATAATATATAGATATAGATATTACAAACTTTGTACGTTCTATGGAAGGGATAGACCTAACATACTCACTAACACACACATATACACTACAAGAATTTTGACTAAATGTGGCACAAAATTTGTCACATAAACTTCATTTTTCATCACGAAAACAAATATATGATGACTTTTATTTGTCACAATGTTCGTTATCGTAGCTCCGTGGCAAAAGAAATATGTGACACTTTTCGAATTTGTCACGATTTATCTATATTTGGTGACGATTTAGTTCTTTGTCACCATTACTAGTATGTTTTAATGACAACATATATGTTACTTTAACGTCGATATTTTTGTCATCAAAGTAGTAATTTTGTCATCTTTGCTTAACACAATAGATGACGGCATATTATGTTGTCAATAAAATGTATTATATAGTGACAATTAACATCGCATCATAAAAAATTCAAATATAGTGACAATAGAATTGTCATAGTAAAGTCACATATTTGTCATTGTACATTTGTACAAGAAAAATCGTCATCAACTATAGCTATTTTAATTACAATTTTTTGTCACTTATAAAGTATTTATGCCAACAATCCAAACTGTCATCTAAAAAATAAATAATGACAAAAGTAGAATTGTCAATAAAAAATTATATTTGATGATGAAACTAATAATCAAACTGTTATAGATCATAAAAATGACTAAGCTACACATATATATACAAAAGTATAGGCCACTATATCAAGTTGAAACATATGTCTAGATTCTCAGCCTTGATCTTTGGACATCTTGTAATGCATTTTAGACGACTTTTCATGCATTAATTTTCTCCTTCAACTACATACAACTTGACATCAAGCTCTTTTTTCAAAAGAAAAAGTCATATTTATGTAAATAAGTTTTACATAAATATTTTGAACTTAAGTTACCACAACACTACGTTGTAGTAATGAATAGAGTAAAGGGTCAGTTTGGTCCTCGAAGTTGCAAAAAAGGCGTCAAATAAGTCCTTATATAGAAGATTCTGTCCGGACGTGCCATTTGAGGTGGATCCCGGTGGAATTTTGTGATAAATTGTTTTGAACATCTTATTCATTAAGTCTAGTTTACTCATACCAAATTTCAGCTAAAAATTCAATCGGGAAGACATTCAAATGAATTCTTGAAGACAACAGCGCTTTTAACGGCACAGTTATCTTCAAGAATTCATTTGAATGTCTTCCCCATTGAATTTTTATCTGAAATTTGGTATGAGTAAACTAGACTTAATGAATAAGATGGTCAAAAAATTTCATCAAAAAATTTCACCGGGAGCCACCTCAAATGGCACGTCCGGACAGAATCTTCTATATAAGGACTTATTTGACCCCTTTTTTGCAACTTCGAGGACCAAACTGATCCTTATCCCGTAATGAATAGTCATATTTATGTAAATAAGTTTTATTTTAGTAATATTCTTGCAAAAAACCCATAAACTTATCAAAAGGAAAAATGTAGCAGATTTTTAAATACATCCCAAAAAGGAAAATGTAGCAAACTTTAAAATACGGAGGAAGTATTTTTATATTCAACTTTACACTAGTGATAATGTAGCAATGTACATAGTAATTGTAGTCCCTTTTTGTCGATTAATTACATTTGAGTAACAAAAAGTGTTAAATAAAACTGTAAGAATCTTTTGAGAAAAATGATAAATTCAGCGGAAAAAATGAAAAATCGCCGAAATATTGTAATGTCTGTTAAACTTTTACTATCATAATAATAGTACAACAACACTTTATTGATTTTTATTCTTCATATAAGTATTTTTAATACATAATCTGCCCCCAATAAATTCTATTCTTGAATCCGTCACTGGAGAGAATAAGGGAATCTTCGTTATAGTAGAGCTTCCTTATTAATACATATTTGACTAAAAGTTCTTATAGCAGATTAATAAGGGATATGCTTCTTTATTCAATGATACTGAAGTGGCAATAAGCATATGATGAATTAATGAGTTGCTATACGGTGGGATCATCCCACGGTGAGCACCATGCTCCCATTAGATAAAATCGTCATTTAATATAAAGTTTTAACTTAAAAAACGCGGATGAACAGTAATTTTAGTTAATTCCTCAGTATTTTTTTATGTAATTCGTGTGTATTGAAATGTAACTCGCGTCCCGATAAATGTAATCTCAGTTATGAATAAATGTACCTCGTGCACTGGATTTAACTTTACTCCTTCCAATAATTATTTTCTCGTCCTTTATATATACATGTAAATCGCGTATATTAAAATGTAACTTC